AACCCCAGGGCCTAGTGCGGCTGGAAGGATTAGGTCAATTGAAAAACATCCAATGACCTCATCGGAACTTGAACCCGCGTCCTTCCAGCTCGTAGCATAGACCCTCAAGCAACTACGCTACGCCCACCAAATCAAGACAGTGGATCGAGAATAGTTAATTTTTAGGTGTAAAATGAAGATCGTATTCGCCTTTCTTATCCTTTCATGGATTAATTATGATGGCCTGGTCCTCTTACAATTAGTTCCAACAAACTGAGCGTTTCTTGACGCCGCAAGACGCCCTGAACTATGACGAATCACTCAGTTACAAGTTCGCTACTATCACAGAATAGCCCAAGGGCAGCACAAAAAAAAATATAGATTTCCCGCAGTGAGACTCGAACTAACGATTCACCCTTGATGTTGCTACTAGAGACTGAGCCATGTCAGAATATTATTGGATTATTGAACGAATCCGTTTCAAATTCAGAGTCAAATCGTCAAACTAAATATGGAGATCTCTTGCTTCGCACTCTGTTGTATCTAAGGGGAGAATTTTACTTTTTTACGATGAAGATGACGAATTTCACGCCCTAACCAGGATTGTAACAATTGACTTATTAACAATTTCCCATGCTTAATCTAGACTTATGGGTTCACGCGATAGCGTAGTTGGTTGATGCACTGTGCTACAGTGTAGATAGCGGTTTCGGGTCCCGATGAGGTGGATTTTTACAACTGATCTAATTCTTCCAGCCGCACTATGGCCCTGGGGTCGACTACGCATCTGACAGAAATGAGTACCAAGAATCTTCATGGGGTGTAAAGGGTTCCCGGCGCGTAAGGCTGACAATCTTAACGCCATCTGTGAGCTGATTGTCTAGATAATGTGGAATGCTCAACGTCTCACAAACTTATGGGCCTCCATGGCCCATTACAGGGATAATTTACTCTTTTTTTTAATTTCGGCTTATGGGAAAGTATAAATTTTATCTGCATATCAAATTTTATATTCCTAACTCCAGTGATTCAAGAGTTATTGCTGTGAAACAGAGAGCTAGATGAAAATTTTCGTATGTTCGCCATGTCGTCGTTCGTTTAGTATTCCGCGAAAAATTACCTTAACGAAAGTTGCATTATTTTTCAAAGATTTGTTACTATACCCCAGCAGTACTACACGATTCTGTATAAAGTTGCAGTAGTATCAGTCGTGCTTCACAAGTTAGTACATGCGCCTTCTTGTTGTTACTAATCATAAGCAATTAAAAGTACGAGGTTGATGTGACCTCTAGGAGCATAATATCCATAACAAAGTGCGTTAAATCGATAAAGTGGTTCACAAGTTTAGTCAGAGACAGGCATATAGACAAACTGTTAATATAATAAACCTAATTTATTTTGCTCAAGAAAGGAAAATACGCTATAAAAAATAATATACAAATAAGATATTAAGATTAAAAATAGCAAGTATTCCGAAAACCAATATTTTTTTTATTGCTAGTGGGGTGGGACTATGTCCCTTGTACTGCGGCTACTTCTGGCCTATTGTACCAGCCCCAGATGATAGGTGATGGTGATTGTGGAGCAATTGGTGGAATGAAGACTGGCAGGGGAAACCGAAGTATTCGGAGAAAACTTGCCCCAGCGCCACTTTGTCCACCACAAATTCCACTTAACCAGACTCGGGATCGAACCCAGGCCGCCGAGGTGGAAAGCCAGGAAAAATAATATGAAAGAAATAGAAGGAAATGTAAAATATATGAGACAATAATAATTTAGGAAGGAAAGAGCGGTAGCAGCGTCCGGCGAGATAATAAAGTAAGACAAAGTGGGCGCGCAATCTAAGGCATGAGAAGTCTTCACTCGCTCAAACACTGGGATCGTGGGCTCGAATCCCACTCAAGGTATGGATGTCTGTGTGCGTTTATTCTGTATTGTCCTGTGTAGGTATCAGCCTTGCGACTGCCTGATTCCCCGTCCAAGGAGTCCTACATATTTTGTATAGAATGAAGAAACTGAAAAAGCGGTCAATGTCCAGCAAAGGCCTATAGAGCCATAGATAGATCGAACAATACCTCACTTAAAAAAAAAACTAAACTCCTTAGCTAGAGTCCGCAAGCGAACTGTACCGACTGAGAGACCGAAGCTTGTTGACGAAGTTAGTGCCAACTTTAGCGGATAGGGGATGTCACATGGTCAGAGCAACGAATCTCCACGGCCGTTAATTTCTGTTTTCTAAACCGGATCCTCTATTTCCTTGAAATGGCTCCTTAANTTAACCAGACTCGGGATCGAACCCAGGCCGCCGCGGTGGAAAGCCAGGAAAAAAAATATGGAAGAAATAGAAGGAAATGTAAAATATATGAGACAATAATAATTTAGNTCTCGGAAAATGTTGTAGCGTCGGGAATCGAAACCGGGACCTCTGAATCTGTAGCCAGGAACTCTGACCACTNGAAGGAAATGTAAAATATATGAGACAATAATAATTTAGGAAGGAAAGAGCGGTAGCAGCGTCCGGCGAGATAATAAAGTAAGACAAAGTGGGCGCGCAATCTAAGGCATGAGAAGTCTTCACTCGCTCAAACACTGGGATCGTGGGCTCGAATCCCACTCAAGGTATGGATGTCTGTGTGTGTTTATTCTGTATTGTCCTGTGTAGGTATCAGCCTTGCGACTGCCTGATTCCCCGTCCAAGGAGTCCTACATATTTTGTATAGAATGAAGAAACTGAAAAAGCGGTCAATGTCCAGCAAAGGCCTATAGAGCCATAGATAGATCGAACAATACCTCACTTAAAAAAAAAACTAAACTCCTTAGCTAGAGTCCGCAAGCGAACTGTACCGACTGAGCGTCCGCAGCTTGTTGACGAAGTTAGTGCCAACTTTAGCGGATAGGGGATGTCACATGGTCAGAGCAACGAATCTCCACGGCCGTTAATTTCTGTTTTCTAGACCGGATCCTCTATTTCCTTGAAATGGCTCCTTAATTATCCTCACGAGGCTGAGTGGGCCCCGTTCCAGACCCATTACTTCTCGGAAAATGTGGTAGCGCCGGGAATCGAAACCGGGACCTCTGAATCTGTAGCCAGGAACTCTGACCACTTGTATTTGTAAAATGTGACACATGTAAGAGCGCATCTGTGTTCACACTGTCACAATGTTGCATACAGAAGCCCTTATTACATTAAATGAGCCACGTTCTCTGCTATCAAGGGTCAGTTGTCCACATACGTCACTCTGTTTTTATTTTAGTTCCTTTACGGACTTTAAGTGCTCCTTATCTCTTGAATGTATCATGTGCAATCAGGAAGTGAGTTAAAGGCATTGAATTACTGTAGAAAGCCGGTTAGTATAGCAGTAACAGTAACAACCCAATAGTAGTGCATGTACTACAAAGGAGTAAGTGAGTGAGTCTTATTTTTCTTTGTGATGTTTATTAGTTGAGTTCGTATTGACTAATTTGGAATGGTATGATGACTCTGAATTGGAAAGAACATGGAAGATAGTAGCCGTGGCTTTGCTTTAAAGTTTTATCCCAGCCTTTCGCTTTAGAGTCTTAGGAAACCCCGAAAACTCGGGTCAGGATAGCTGGTATCCGCGACGTGAAACGCATCTCCGACCTCCTGAATTCGTAGCAGAAATTGTAAGCTCTGCCTTGCGGGGGTATATTGAACTATTTCATGTGGTACACGAAGAAAAAAATAATTTTAGCAGTACAGGCAGGTTCAGTTTTGTGCTTCGAGGAGAAAACAGAAAGAATGGAAGGAAATCCTACAAGAAGGTGTGGCAACACTGATGCCAACTTGGGGCAAAGAGTTCAATATTTCTTGTAGTTCATGTGGGGTAAAATGTTGATCTGTGTTTACATTACCGTTGTTGTACTGTTTAGGGTCTCTAAGAAGTGATTATGGCCAGTGCTTGGAATACAGTCCACAGAAGTGTATATGTGAATGCACTCAAACAAAATTAAGTGCAAGAAATAGATTTGTCACTTTCTATACAAAATGTAGACCGCCATTTTAAAAGCAGGGTCACAGGGTCTGAATATCTTTGACATGTCATAATATCTCTTGTTCTATATTTTGACATTTTAAGATAACTGTCACTGGCGTCCCGCAAGTTTATCTACAAGTAATACTGATATATTTTTTCTAACATTTTAAGATAGCTATTACAAAGCTTCGGGGCACGCGGTAGCGTAGTTGGTTGAGGGGCTATGCTAGAAGCCGAAAGGTCGGTTCGAGTCCCGATGAGGTCATTGGATTTTTCAATTGACCTAATCCTTCCAACCGCAATATGGCCCTCAGCCTCTAACAGAAATGAGTACCAGGAATTTCCTTGGGAGGTAAAGAGCGACCGGCGCGTAAGCCTGACAACCTCACCTCTAGAAAATGTGGGAGCCTCGACCTCTCACAACCCTATGGTCCTTCACTGCTTGTTAAAGGGAATGATTTGCTTTTGCAAACTGATTTGTAAGTTTCCATCCATATTTGAAAGAAAATTCGGCTAATATACAGTATTTAAAATTTTCCAGCATGGAAGAGTTTAAGTGAAATCCAGAAAAAGAACAATAAACTAAATCCTCATGTACAGTGTACACCAGTAACAAAATGAATTAACATTTAGGAATTGAAATAAACATACGAATCATAAAACCACTTCTAAGTACTTCAAAGTATCACTCTGAGTAGGCACATATAATTACATTTTGGTATAAATTGACTGTGTTTTTTATTTAAATGGTAAAGAGTATGGAGCAATTGGTACATAATTTTCAAGATCCTCCTGTTATTTCATCTCTCTTAGGCCTCAGTACGTATTTTTTCTCATTCATTGTTTTCCCCTTAGGCTATGGGTGAAAGAAAGGCGTTACATTCTCATCAAATTGTTAAACTTGTTTTGCGGAAAGCAAAATGGTTGGTGTACTTCAGAGATATGATTGAAATTGCCGCCATGCAGCAATATGTGAAGTCGGAGGTTTCAGCTAGGTGGCAGTTGAGTACGGAACTTGACAAGCAGGTACTATCGTTGTGAGTGTCGCCATGTCGTGTTATTTACTGCAGGTAAAGCTTACGTGATGGTGGGTAGTAGGACTTTGGTCTATCGTAAGGAACTCATTGGTTCAATTGTGAAATAAGCAGAGAAGTTTTGACTGCATATTACATTACATCGCAGAAGCAAATTTCGTGGTAAGTAATCACAGCGATAACCGAATTATAGACTAGTACGTGACAGTAGTTATAACTAAAGTTATCCTTGTCCTGGTTGCGTGTAGATAATCCATGCCACAGTGTAGGTGGTTCAGGTTGGATTTGTTTATTCAACGGCGTTTCGCTGCTGAGCTTATTATGTTTACTCGATTAAGAGGATGATGTGAATATGAGCTGCGAAGGATGTAGAGAAAAAGAGTCGAAGCCTATTTTAGAAAGCTTCTTAGCATTTCAATAGTGGATGATAGCTACAAACAAGAAGTTCTGGGAAGAAATAATCGCCTACTTTCCTTTGATACGACAAGGATCGCATAAAAATGACGCGTCCAACAGTTCTATTATTGCGTGTATATTCGTTGCCAGGGTAACGTTTTTACTGAGCCGTTGCCTAGCAAAAATAGTGGGATATATACATAGGCACACAGACTGATGGGAGGGATTTATGGATTACGCCGTTGAGATGGCCTCAGGTTTCATGATATACATATCAACTTTCATGAAGACTGGTTCAGGCATTCAAAAGTTGATAAGGGTTGAGCATGGTGATCTGATAGGTCAACTCTGATTTTTTTTTCGAAGTAAGGAAAGTAGGTTAAAAATATTAGTACGGACACACGGTCTGCCAGCAGAAAATCGAACCCTGTACCTCCCAAGAGTGTTCTCTACTCGACCACAATATTCGGTTTTCATTTCCTTTTTCTTTTTAACAACAAATTAAATATTCCTCCTTTCGTACACTTTCACTTTCGGCACAACATGTTTCGGCCCTAAATGACCATCTTCAGGTGTCTTAGGGCCGAAACATGTTGCGTCGAAAGTGAAAGTGTAAGAAGGAACATTTTATGCATTGTTGACGGAGTGTGTAGTATAATAAACAGTATTAGATATAGTAATGCAACAAACAAAAACAACACTCAGTGGTTTTAGTCCGCAAGCGAACTATACCGACCGAGCGACCGCCGCTTGTTGGCGAATTTAGTGCCAAATTTGGCATAGTAATGCAAGAGGATGCTTAAGTACAGGAGTCCGAAACAAGTTTTCTAGTTTCCTGATGGCTATTTTCATGCGAATTGGGGGATACTTTTTATATTATTTTTAAACATGTTATTACATATTCCTTTGTGCTTTACTGAAGGAACAGGCAATTTGATAAGGCTTTGATGAGTATTAAAAGTGAACGCGGATCCCTTAATCCAAGTTTTCCATAAGGTCTTGGTCTCGCCAACTACGACGTTTTCAGGAATGTAACCCCCGCGGTTGACGAGAGATTTGTGCATAAAATATATGCCCCAGGGCCGAAGCGCTTGTCTGTGGAGGCATGTAATATGTTGTAGGCAAAGCCCCCACCTAATCAAGACAGGCTTTACATTGAGGAAGGGCGAACCAATGTCACAAAATATTCAGGGATACAAAATTTCCTGAAGATTAGTATAATCTGGTTGCCATGAAATCAGTGACATCCATTCTTTCATGTCTGTACATGCGCATGCGTGAGCGCCGAGAAAGACTTCCGCTTAGGGTAATGCTAACGACCTATCGAAGCGACATACGTGTAATTTTGTAACTGTGGGCGTAGAAAGTAGCATGCATTAACATGTGCATGAAGTGTTCGTAATGTTCAACATTGTAAACATGTAGAGTGGCTGGGTTTTCGGACTTGTCCATCGTCCGTATAGCGGACGAAGGACGAAGTCCGAAAACCCAATAATTCTGAGTGTAAAGAATGGGTTTTACATTTAACATGGCAAAGAATAATAATCCAGCTACAGATAAAAAACGCATAAAACAAATATTAAAATGGCTAAATTTTTGTCAGGAATCGTGTTTCGGAAGTTCGCAATAATATCCCAGTGGCTGGTTATTTGTTTTGTGTTCAGGATGTACCGGTTTCGAATTAGAACCATAANATTTAAATAATATTTCTTTCCAGAACATGTATCAGTTTGATTTCTTCAATATTTTTCCTATGTGGTTTGTCCCATGCTTAACCCGAGACATTCATTTTCGAATTCGTATTTGCTTTGAAAGAGCCATGCGGTCAAAAGTGTACCAAGCGAGAAAAATTTAACTCCGTGACCTGCAGTCCGCAAGCGAACTACACCGACCGAGCGACCGCCTCTTGTCGGCGAAGCTAGTGTCAACTTTAGCGGATAGAGGTTGTCGCGTGATCAGCGCAACGGATCCTCACCGCCGTTAATTTCGGTTTTCTAGACCGGGGGAAAATATTTATCATTGTGAAACACCAAGATTTTTACGAGGGAAATGTATCTTACTTTATAGTGTGCTGTCATAAAAAATAGGACCTCAGCAAGGTTACAAAAAAAAAATATCACAGGATGTATAAATGTACGTTTTATAATCTGCTTCTAAACAATTTAACACTTTATTCTGAATGGTTTATCATGTATTTAAAACCGCACTAAATACAAAATACAGGGAAATGTGTTTTTAACTGTTTACAAAAATAAATCCGTTGTACATAATTTCCGAAAACTTGATTGTAAGGAAATTAATGGCATAAACTCCGGATCGTCGTCATGCTTGGTGGACACAATGCTATGGTTTCTACATTACTTCCAGTGTCAAACGCGTCAGTGGAGGACATTTTTTATATGTTCCGGTCACGAGTGAACAGAGTGCTGTCACGGACCGGTTGTAGCCCTGAACATAGTTTCAATCTACACGACAAGGAACAATTTATAGATCATATATTATGACAACATTTTTTGAGATCTGAAATTGATTCACTGCAACCACGAATGTAGTAGGTTAGTGTGGCGGTAACGCTCTAGAGATTTTTCATAAGGAACTTGATTCGAATCTCAGTCAGGCTTTTCGTAATTTTATATGTATATATAAGTAAGCTTTGACCAAAAAATATTTACTCTACACCATCCGTGTCAAACATGCGGCCCCTATAGCCACAAAGTGCGGCCACTCAACTGTTAGAGCTAATTAATATTAAAATCAATATTCAAATTTTAGTAGAAATATCTTTTGTAAAGAATTTTCCAACAGACCAGAAGACAAGAAGCCTCACACAGACATAAATTAGTAGGCTGCAGGAAATTCAGTGTTTTGCTATTTCTAACGTAATTTCTTGTGTAATTTCTCTTTTTACATATTGAAAAGCTGTTTGATACTTGTCAAAAATGGCATTCTCTTGCTTTTTAAAACTGTAAGATATGTGACTTTAGGTAATTATATTGAAATTATTACTAAATAATAAATATAATTAAATTTCCTTGTGTCAAAATCTAATGTATATTTCTATTTTGAAGTGCGGCCCTGGACTATTATTTATAGAGCTGAGGTGGCCCTCTGTACAAGTTGAGTTTGACATGCCTGCACTAGACAGTAGAGCGTATTAGTATTCTTAAATGTAACTGCTTTGCCAAAAACTTCGCAAGTTATTGAGGTTAGGTACTTCTCTTTAAGCTTATTTCTAGAAATACCCGTTGAAGTTTCAACGGACCTTATGCTAGCATTTTATAACTTCTGACATGATATTAAATGGAAGAGTTCCTTTTGCACCAATAAGCATAATTTCGTTGCCGAGTAACAACGCTGGACAAAAATTCGCATTACAACATCTTTTTCACTGTTGTCTGCGAGGAATACGAATCACTATCTGAGTAAAATTTATGCCTGACTTGAAAGTATTTTGTGTTGTTATAGAAATGCTGCAGTATGAATACTTTATATCTGTATAGAGATATTGCAGCATGAAATGTTTCAAATTCACTGACAGTTTACACACTGTAAACCAAGGAGAAGAGTTATATCGCTGGATCATGCTGTTTTATTAGCTTACTTTCTATTGGAAGATGGCTTAATGGTATCATCATTTCAGTGCGTGTGCCCTCATAATAATATTGGAACAAATTGACGAAAATTAATTAAGCTCTGTAGCGATATCTCGTCTCTACAGGCCACTTTATCTCTATACTTGCAACAATTTCGTGCCATCAGTAATACCAACATGAACTTCGTAGGTGGAAGTGACTGTAGTGGCACTACTAGTCCATTAAAGCTAGACCCTGAAAGTCGGTTTTCAGTTAGTGTGTCACTTTTGTTAAGGGGAACTTATGTAAAGAAAAGGGTAAAGCGGTCCCTGTAACAGGCCTCGGAGGCCCATAGGGTTGTGAGACGTTGAGGGTCCCACATTATGTAGATAATCTGCTCACAGATGGCGGTAAGGTTGTCAGCCTTACAAAGATTCCTGGTACTCATTTCAGTTAGAGGTTGAGTCGACCCCAGGACCATAGTGTGACTGGAAGGAATAAGTCAATAAAAAAATCCAATGACATCATCGGGACTTGAACCCGCGACCTTCCGGCTTGTAGTATAGTTCCTCAACCAACTACGCTACCGCAGGATGCAAAACAACCACTGTTTTCCGAAACCTGTATTTTGTTTTCGGTTTGAAGACGAAAGCAGATGAATCACTACGCCTAACCAACCCCACGAAAGATTCCTCTTTGAAAAGCTAATAGTTGGTAGGTTATTCCCTGTTCGTTCCGTCCTCGCAAGATTTTGGAACGAGAATGTAGTTTATGATCTGCCCCCATGCAAAATTCCACATACTTAGCTTTGTCGGGCGAACTTTTTATCGGTCTGTATGTCAGTAATATAAGTATATGTAGATATTATTATTATGGTTCTTCTGCCCATGGTTGGGCCTTGGCCGCTTCTTCAGTTTCTTAATCCTATACACCGTCGGTAGGACTCGTTGGACGGGGGATCAGCCCATCGCAAGGCCGCTGTCTACACACAGAACAACACAGACACAGAATAAACGCACACAGACATCCATGCCTAGAGTGGGATTCGAACCAGTGACCTCGGTGTTTGAGCTGGCGAAGACGGTTCATGTCTTAGACCGCGCGGCCACTGCGATCGGAATATATAGAGATGGGCTGACAACGCATCGTGTATAACCCGCATAGTAAGTTTAATGGAAATCACTTCAGTAGATGCGGACGGTCTACACCAGACCTCCCATTTTGCTTTCACTTTACCGTATGCCCTTCACACTGCGAAGGCCCATGCACTAACGCAGTGAGAAACTGCAGGATACTGTATGCAAGTTGTGCAATTCCGAGCGGCAGGAATTTCGGATCATTGACTACATTGAATCGTTAAAGACAATAAAACAATTATTCGGGAGGACAAGCCACAACGCTCGTTAGAACGGGGATCAGAAAGCAGAATTTAATTCTGGCCATCGTCGAGGCCGGGGCACGCGGTAACATAGTTGGTTGAGGCACTATGTTACAAGCTGGAAGGTCGCGGGATCGAATCCCGATGAGGTGGATTTTTTTTTCAATTTACCTAATCCTTCCAGCCGCACTATGGCCCTGGGGTCGACTCAGCCTCTAACAGAAATGAGTACCAGGGATATTCCTGGGGCTAAAGGGCGGCTGTCGCGTAAGGCTGACAACCTCACCGCCATCTGTGAGTCGATTGTCTAGAACATGTGGGAGCCTCAACATCTCACAACCCTATGGGCCTTCACGGCCTGTTACAGGGATATCTTTTCTTTTTTTTATGGTCGAGGCCCCCACATTTTCTCTAGACAATCGCCATCTCTGACTGTCTGTAAGTCCACGTGGGAGAGATATCCAACCTGGGTTGACTGATTGGATGATCAACCAGAGACATGTGGGCGGATTCCTTATATTTCCTCTATCTGGTTTTTGATTCAATATGCAAGCCTTTCGCTTCTTTGAAACATATTTGTGTCTTTTTATATGCATGTTGGGCTAATTTTGATTTTTTAAGCAGATCTTAGGTCAGGTTATATTTGTGCTCCTTAATGCGTACTCCTTAAGGTCTGCTTATTTCGCCCCATACCACAATCACACGGGATATTGTACAAACGCTGCTTCGTCTGTTGAACATCACTAACCGGTCAAGTTTTTCATCAATTCCCCACGGAGTTTATGTTCAGTTTTGAAAATGGCCCTGGCATTGAAGAGGTTTCCAATGCGTCTGAATTTTTCGGAAATACCCTTAACATGTGGGATAGCGACCGTACCACGGTATACTGTATCCGAAGAAGGACAGTTGCTTCTCGATAGCCCCATTATGGGTAAGAAATACTCTTGGACATTCACTAAGCATCAGATCACGTCTTATGTTCTTAATTTCCTTCCCGAAATCCTTCTGATCCTTACATATGGCCTTGGCTCGACTGATCAAACTATAAGGTATAAATGTTTGTGACGATGGTACATTGGTTTAAGTATTATGTTTCTGGACATTATCCATCGGCTTGTCTGGTGTTTTGAAAAATAAGCGGTCGATTTTTAGATATAGACAAAATGATGGATAATGTCCAAAAACGTAATATACTTATAATCAAACTATGATCGACTCCACTTTTGACGTGATATGGATGGTTGCAGTTAACGACCAGTATGAACAGGTTTCCGGTACACTTTCGTGGCCAATTTAGGGCTTCTCTTCATGACCAAGACGCCCAAGAACGGAAGAGTATCATTGGTTAAACTTCCACTGTGAATGTGATGGTAGGTTTAATGCTGCTAAGGCGGTGGAAAGATTGCTGTAACTGTACTGGTCTATTCAAACCACGAAAGCTTGTAGACATGTCTGAGCCAGTTAGTGAGTTTTCCAACGGCCTCCTTTTTGCTAATAGAGTTTGTCCTCAAACTGAAGTACATAGTTGTTAAACAGATGTCCAGTAATTCTATTACATCTTCAGCTTGTAAAGGTGAGCGTTCTGGAAAAGAGGGATCCGTGCTGAGTCTATTTCTTATGACTTTTAAGACTTCTTCCACTGGTATGTTGGTGAATACACTGCCAACGTCAATACTTATAAGTAATCTTCGTTTTGAAGGCCCGTCTCATATATTACTTGTATCTATTGTTCTGAGTTCTTCAGGAAGGAGTCTGTATTGGCTACCAGAGGGCTCAGGATCTTATGGAAGAATTCTGCTAGGACACAGCAGGGAGAGTCAGTGGAGCTAACTATTGGTCCGAGTGGGACGTCAGGTTCTGTATCTTGGGAAGTCCATATAAGTGAGGTGGTTGACGGCGGTAAGGAGCCAGTTTAAGTTTCCAGGCAGCAGGAAGAACAGTTATGTGCTTAGTAAGAAGTTTCCGTATCTTTCTCTCAATATGAGACGTGGAATTCTTGCGCAGAATTTCATACACGCCTGATTCTAGTGGACTGGATATCTTCTCGTATGTAGACTCGTTGAACACCACCGTGCAGTTTCCCTTGTCAGCTTGTACAATTCGTATTTCCTTGTCATCTTTCAGAGATTTCAACGTCATACTTTCCATAATGCATGGACACAGGAGCTAGGCCTCGTGGGTGTGGAGTTCTTTAGAATTTTTAATGTTTGTCTTAACTCTCGTAGATGGTTTGGGCTGTGCTTGGTGTATATAGCTTATCTTGTGTTGGTGCTGGTGTCGGAGATACGGACTATCTTTTCGATTGGGCCCAACTGAGTAGGTTCCACCCACAGACTTGGACAGAATCGTCTCCTAAACGTTGTGTTCTAAATAAAAAAGGGTTGATGGATAATGTTCAGCAATACAATAATTGTATTAATACACCATCGTCACAACATTTTTAGATCATTAATGTTTCGTTCATTCCAGTGTTTATGAAAACGGCGGAAGAGGAGGGACGTTCGCCCAAACAGATGTTGACGAGAACAGGCCGTCATCCACCACTCGTTCGCTTCGAATTTGGCCATCGGTGGATACAATATATACTACTAACTGCTAAATAAACTTTAGTGTAGTTTACAGTTGCACGTATTTATAGTCAAGGATATACACACATTTACAGTCACGTTCATATCAGATTCTAAAGTGTTCTGACGGTGTTGTATAACACTCAGGATCACTGAGTTTTAAAGAACACAAAGGAACACAACGATTCAGAAACTGGATTTATTTCCATCCTCAGATAAGGTATGGGAGACACTTAATCTGCTGGGTCCGTCAGAAGGAGGGACTGAGCTTAGCTCTCTCTAACGGACCCAGCAGAGTATATCTCTCCCACACCTCACCTGAGGATGGAAACAGATCCAGTTTCTGAAACGTTGTGTTCTTTAGAATATCAGAAGACGGAGAAAGTCCACGGACCCTGTAAAACACCCGTCCATATTGTCTGTATTACAATGCGTGTTATGGGTTTAAAGTAAGACTAAGGAATGTAACATAACTTTGAGGCTTACATGACCGTGTCCGCGGAGTAAAACGAGGACTTAACTGCGTAAGAAAAGAGAAATGAAAAAGAATAGAGAAACTGGGAAGAAAAGAAAGAAAGTCAAAAAGATATAATGAACGGAACAAACGAAGACGGGATAAAAGAATGTAAGAAACATAATCGAAAATACTCGTATGCGTAGGAAGCTGTCATTTCAACGTGCATCTGTCAGAGGTAGACACATTAAAACCACGCCGTTCATGAATCTTCATGGTCACCTCGTGACTAATTAGCATGACATCGGCATAGAATGGGGCGATAATTTTCTAAATCGAAAGGCAGAGTCAATACGTCAATTCTTATTTGTTTTTGTTTTCTGCACCTTTTGTTGCACGACCGCGGGGATTCGTTGTGCTGGTCATGCGACACCCTCTATCCGCTAAAGTTAGCACTAACTTCGGCAACAAGCGGTGGTCGCTCGGTCGGTATAGTTCGCTTGCGGACTAAATCCAAGGAATTCATTTTGCTTTGTTACACTTTTGTGACGTAAATACGTATCAAACATTCCTAACATACGGCGACATGGCTGTAGTAAGGGGGGAGGATGTAATTTACCTACTGTATTTCGTCAGTAATTCACGACATCGAAAAACATTTCAAATATGTTTCGTACATGTAAAAATGTCGGAGAAGTTCATGGAGGTAGGCCTAGGCCCACTGGGGCTGTAGTGCCAAGGAAAAAAATATAAAAATGTAGAGTTATCCATGGGATTTCATTAATTACGCACCATGCACGAAGACGTATAGGGCTCCACCATTCTTAACCTGGGCACTAGATGGATGTTGAGTGGTCATCTTCACGCCCCGGCCGCTTTACCTCAGGGGAATGAGCCGCCGGTATCCATCGTATAGGAGGTTGGGTGGACCCCAAAGCTGGTCTGGAAATTATGAAAAGAAATATCTCTTGGTTCTGCCGGGAATCGAATCCCGACTTATCGGCCGTGCAGCCCGCAGCGTAGTCGTTATAGCGACAGAGCTATCCCCACTCCTTGTTTGTATATGTGTAGAATATTCTTTTCTACATGGGACTCTCTCTTCCTGAAAGATGGTCTATCACGCCCTGTTACAGGGATGGCTTTACCTTTTACTTCATCAGCTGTCTGCAGTGGCTGAAGATCACCGCAGAAGCCACTACTGAATGGTGTAGACCTGACGATGGAACTGGGTACCAGCTAGAAAGGAATGCAGCTTGGAAAAAAAGAACGAACGAACGGAGAAAAGAGAGAAAAAGAAGTATAAACGACAGAAAAAATAAAGTACGTGTTTAAATGAATTTCCGCCCTAGGATCTCTGACAACGCGATCACCTGACGTATGTGAAACATGAAGCAGACTGGTGCAACCGGAAGCCGATTATGTTTCGCATTCCGATGATACGCGTATGGTTTGTTGACTACTACGTGACCTAGTAATTACAAACTGTTACAAGGTTTACTAAACTGTAAGTCGCGACCCCCCAAGAGGTTGCCATCAACTTTAAGCGGGTTCACGGACTTCACAGGAACTGTTTAAAATACAGTTGTACCCATGCACAAGGTTCACGCGATAGCGTAGTTGGTTGAGGCACTAAGCTACAAGCCGGAAAGTCTCGGGTTCGAGTTCCAATGAGGTGGATTTTTTTCATTTTACCTAATCCTTCCAGCCGCACTATGGCTCTGTGATCAACTCAGCCTTTAACGGAAATGAGTACCAGGAATCTTCCTGGAGGGATAAAGGGTGGCTGGCGCGTAAGGCTGACAACCTTACCACCATCTGTGAGCCAGTTGTGTGTAGAAAATGTGGGAGCCTCGATGTCTCACAGCCCTATGGGCCTTCACGGCTTTACCTTTACCTTACCCATGCACAGTCATGGAAAGTCAGTATCTCAGATAACTTTCAGAAAATGTAGCTAGAGCCGGAGAAATATTTCGCAAATATTTTCATGACTGGACAGAAGCCTTTTATACCTTACTGCAGGTGTAGTGCGAAGCTGTTTAGGTTCTTGCTACCACCGTACAGCCTGATACGGGCTTGTAACTGCGCAGAACTGTGCTTCTCTCCGACAGGAAGAGAAGAGGATATCATAAATTTATGTATTATTTTAAACGGTTGCGGTATCAAAGAGCTTTAGAACCCATAAAATATTAGATGTTGCCACATCTTCAAGCTGAAATGTCACTGAAAGATTTATATAACTGGTTTGCTCCATCTCCACAACAGAAGTTCGGCCTTATCATGTGTAAAGATATTTCTGCAGCTGTGTATCGAACTGTGTGACACGGGTTTCCCTGAAAAGTTGCTACGTGTTCAGCGGTTTGAATGTAAACAAGGTTCATTGCAGTGTCCACTAAAGCACATCGTTGGACCCTATCCTGAACGAGCGGAATTCACTTCACCGTTACATTTTTTGACGTATGCTCGCAATTTGCTACAATCGATAATATTAATATGGCGGTATGCGAACTTCTCAGGTGGTAACTACGCCAGCGTTTGATAATTTGCGCGGCGATATTTAGAAAAATATGTAGCTTTTGTTGAGATCAAATATATTAAATTACGTGGGGATAACGGGAAATACGTGCATATTTACATTTGTTTGATGGAGAAACAGCTTACGCGTGCGAAATTTGGCGTGACCCTTATATAATTTTTCTTTCGGAGAGGAGATTTTCAAATTAGAAATTCTGCGATGTGCAAACGTTGTCGGTATGCCTGATACCTTTTTTTTTCTTCTTCTTCTTCTAGCTCCCACTTTGGAGCATAGGGCTGATTTCTCAGTTTCATTGATCATTTTTACAGACGGTAGGACTCCTTGGACGGGTGACCAGCTCGTCGCAAGTCCTCTACCTAAACACAGGACAACACAAACAGAGAATAAACGCATACACACACCAAATATCCACGCCGTATGTGGGATTCGAACTCACGATCCCGGCTTCCGAGCGAGCGAAGACAGTACATTTTTTTTATTTACATAATATTAGCAATCAGAATTACATTTGATTCTATAAGCTAATTTGCTGTAGTATTCTTCGTGACGTAGAGAGGGCTAATCCAGAGATAAGTCCTCGTTAAACCTCTCTCAGATCGGCTGGCCAATTCCTTTTTAGTCTTCGTCCATTATGTGGTTACAGTAACGGTTTGAATTAGTACGTTCTCGTGTCCTGTTTTGTTGTGGTATCTTGAAGACAGTACATGGCTTAGAACGCTCGGCTACCGTGACCGGCCCTGATACCTTTGAGGTAGTGAAATTTTTTACACAGAACTGAATTACATAATCATGGCGCTAATATCTACAGGCCGCGCGGTCTAAGTCATAGTTTTTTTTTAATTCGCTTAGTGGGGGGTGGAGTCCAACTGGGTCCACTCGGCACGGCGGCCACTGATTGGCCTATTGTAGCCTGCCCCGGGTGACTATGATGATGGAGAATTTTGTGAAATGAAGATTGGCAAGGGAAACCTAAGTACTCGGAGGAATCCCGCCCCAGCGCCACTTTGTCCACCACAAATTCCACTTGACCAGACCCGGGATCGAACCCGGACCGCCGCGGTGGGAAACCAGCGACTAACCTCTTGAGCTATGGCGGTTCCGGTCTAAGGCATAAACTGTCTTCGCCCGCTCGAACGCTGGGATCGTGGGTTCGAATTCCACTCAAGGCATAGATGTCTGTGTTTATTCTGTGTTTGCGTTAGAGGGACCTTGTGGTAGACTGATCCCCCGTGAGAGGTGTCCAGCCGACTGTCTTAGAATAAGAAACTGAAGTGAAACGAAGCGTTGGCCGCGCCATAGCTCAAGCGGTTAGTCTCTGGCTTCCCACCGCGGGCGCCCGGGTTCGATCCCGGGTCTGGTCAAGTGGGATTTGTGGTGGAAAAAGTGGCGCTGGGGCAGGTTTTCTCCGAGTACTTCGCATTCCCCTGCCCATCTTCATTCCC